GGGACGGCCGCCGTACGACAATCGCAAGGTGTGCGGCCACCTCTTAGATAAGAGACGTTCATCTACTGCCTGGCACCTCACTCAGGACTACCAGGATCCTCCCACCTGCCGTGACCGGTACAATGGTGGAAGGGCTCCAGGCTGACCTCACACGCCACTGACACCAAATACCTCCCATTCCCCGACCACGGAGTCACCGGCTGAGGAATGCTCTTCACTCCTCACCACAGACGCTGCAAAGCCCTTCACTACCAAATGATAAGGGGCACAACAAGTGGGGTGACACGGCAAGTGGGGGGGATACGACAAGGGTGGATGCGACAAGTGGGAGTAAAACAGTTGACACTACAATCCCCCACCACACACTCACCATCATCCAACCTGTCCTCATACTACCCAACCAGACCCCACACCAAACAATCATGTGCAGTGTGAGGGGAGATAATAATGTAGAAGTTGTGGTGCTGTTGTTGTGCTATGTGCACAGTGATATGACTCAGTGCGGTTATGTGTCCCGTGTTATTACATGTTGTAGTATGATTATGGCGTGTGGGGTGCATGTATTATGCTCTCCATGGGGGGAGACAGCCCGATGTTGGGGGGATCACGTGTACAGTGCGGTGATAATATACAGAGCCGTGTGATTGTTATATATGGAGAGCCGGCTGTGTGTCGCATTGTTCTCTATCGCCATGGAGAGCCAAAAACCTGTCACCTGTACACGTGAGTTCCTGTGTGCACCACGAGGGGCCCCGGACCCCCCCCCACCCCCCGACACCCCCCTGATCACTACTACACACCACCGTGTGACTATAATACACCCGAGAGATCACCGATCACTACTACACCCCACCGTGTGACTATAATACACCACAGAGATCACCGATCACTACTACACCCCACCGTGTGACTATAATACACCCGAGAGATCACTATTACACACCACCGTGTGACTATAATACACCCGAGAGATCACTACTACACACCACCGTGTGACTATAATACACCAGAGACATCACCGATCACTACTACACACCACCGTGTGACTATAATACACCCGAGAGATCACCGATCACTACTACACACCACCGACTACATACAGCCGTGCCGCCCACAGTCACCTGACTCCTCGCCTATGACTCCCGGCACCTGACTCCTTACCTATGACCCCTGGGCACCTATCTCCTCACCTATGACCTCCTGGTCATCTGACTTCTCCCCCTATGACCTCTGTCACCTGGCTCCTCTCACTATGGTCCCTGGCTCACATGACTCCTCCCACTATGATACCCGGCTCACCTGACTCCTCACCTATGACCCCTGGTCACCTGACTCCTCACCCTATGACCCCCTGGTCACCTGACTCCTCACCTATGACCCCCTGGTCACCTGACTCCTCTACTATAATACACCCGAGAGATCACTACTACACACCACCGTGTGACTATAATACACCCGAGAGATCACTACTACACCCCACCGTGTGACTATAATACACCCGAGAGATCACCGATCACTACTACACACCACTGACTACATACAGCCGTGCCGCCCACAGTCACCTGACTCCTCGCCTATGACTCCCGGCACCTGACTCCTTACCTATGACCCCTGGGCACCTATCTCCTCACCTATGACCTCCTGGTCATCTGACTTCTCCCCCTATGACCTCTGTCACCTGGCTCCTCTCACTATGGTCCCTGGCTCACATGACTCCTCCCACTATGATACCCGGCTCACCTGACTCCTCACCTATGACCCCTGGTCACCTGACTCCTCACCCTATGACCCCCTGGTCACCTGACTCCTCACCTATGACCCCCTGGTCACCTGACTCCTCACACTATGACTCCCGGCACCTGACTCCTTACCTATGACCCCTGTCACCTGACTCCTCACACAATGACCCCCGGGTCACCTATCTCCTCACCTATGACCTCCTGGTCACCTGACTCCTCACGCTATGACCTCTGTCACCTGGCTCCTCACACTATGACCCCCGGCTCACCTGACTCCTCTCACTATGATCCCTGGTCACCTGACCCCTCACCCTATGACCCCCTGGTCACCTGACTCCTCACACTATGACCTCTGTCACATGACTCCTCCCACTGTGATCCCCGGCTCACCTGACTCCTACCTATGACCCCCTGGTCACCTGACTCCTCACCTAGGACCCCTGGTCACCTGACTCCTCACCTATGACCCCCTGGTCACCTGACTCCTCACCTATGACTAGGGTTGCCACCTTTTCTTCAAGTGAAACCCAACACTCAAGCGACGTACTGACTTTTTGTGGGGAGAATGAGTGGTGGCTTATTCATATGTAAATATCACAGCTGACTATTTTCAGTGGGGGATGCAGTAGCCCCTATCTTAATTTTGGCTGCCCCCGTCTGCCTGGCATCTTGAGCCCGGGTTTCTGCTGCCATGAAACATGGACACAGCATTCAAACCCCGAACTGTCCGGGTGAATCCTGGACAGGTGACAACCCTACCTATGACCTCCTGGTCACCTGACTCCTCACACTATGACCCCTGGTCACCTGGCTCCTCACACTATGACACCCTGGTCACCTGACTCCTCACACTATGACCCCCGGGTCACCTAACTCCTCACACTATGACCCCCGGGTCACCTAACTCCTCATACTATGACCCCCTGGTCACCTGACTCCTCACACTATGACACCCTGGTCACCTGACTCCTCAGACTTCAGCCATGACCACATATTTCTAACATGATAAATGTGTTCAGTGATGTATTACAGCAAAGGGGAAAATTTGCCATCTCTATTCATTCTTGGTCCCCTCTCCTTAGGAAATGTCTATATACTGTACTAGTTTGGAGCCGTCATCCGCACACAGACTGACGGTGACCAGCCTAACATTTCTGATCACGTGACTCTCGCTGGGCTCCATCTTGTTGGTGGGGTGAAGGGTTAGGAGCCTTTGTCAGCGACACCAGCGGCCGCCATCATGTTGGTGGGGTGAAGGGTTAGGAGTCGTTGCCAGCGACACCAGCGGCCGCCATTCTGTTGGTGGGGTGAAGGCGGAGCTATTTCCCAGCGTGCTCCGTGCCGCCAGCGGCCGCTGATGTGTCGAAAGTGCGAACTTATCGAGTTGTGGGACCGCATAACTTCCGGTTTCCTCAGAACTACGAGGTTTTTACACAAAACATGTTGTGCACGAGCGCCATCCACGGCATTGCCCTATAGACATAGACCACAGCAATAAAGTAATAAAATGATGTAGGATGACAGTAAGCCAGCACGTTCTTTATCTCCGGTGCCCCACTCAATATGGCCGCCGCTTGAGTGGGGCACCTGAGATAAAGAACGCGCTGGCTTACTGTCATCCTACATCATTTTATTACTTTATTGCTGTGGTCTATGTCTATAGGGCAATGCCGTGGATGGCGCTCGTGCACAACATGTTTTGT